TGACTCAGGATGAGTCGATACAAAAGGTTATGAATCGAAACATGCAGTATTTAAGAGTTAGTATGAGTCGACACAAGAGGTTACGCATCGACTCAAAGAGGCATGTGTCGACTCATGCAGTCCAAATTTTGACAGATTTTTCCAAAGGCTGTAACTTGAGTTTCCGGACTCCGTTTGAGGTGCCGTTTGAAGCGTTGGATAGCTAATGCGATGAACTTTATTCATAAGGATTAAAAGGAAGGATAAGAATAATAATCCTAGTACCCAAATTAGGATAAAGTTAGATTTCTCGCGTTAAATCACTATGATGATTTTGTGAAGTGTGATGAGGATAAGATGATCTTAGATTATTACTTGGTTCACAACACTAAGATTAATAGTAATCATGATGTAGTATTACAGTATAATAATATGTAGAGGTTTGGTAATTAGAGATAAGCATTAGATGAGTACTTAATCAGCATAGTCGAGAATTATCCGAATAATTATGGGCAATATTATGTTGTAGGTCTATGGCCAATGTTGAATGGTTGTTGACCTGTTGTTGTGTTGTTGTTATGGTTGAGTTACTGTGGGGTTATGTTGATGAATTATGCTGATAAATTATGTTGATGAATTATGTTGACGAATTATGTTGAGATGCCTCTAATTATTGGCAGATATAAGTTGTAGGCTTCTGGCCAACGATGATTTATGTTGAGATGTTGTTAGTTGTGGTTGTTGTTGCTACATTCATGATTGTGTCGCATACATTGCATATCAAGATGGAGCTGGTGCTCGTTAAGATGGCCTAGATTGGAAAATATTAAGATGAAGGCTATGCCCTGTTGATGCCTCTATTTATTGGCAATTTTTAAGATGGGAGTTCTGCTCCAATGGTACCACATGCATTTGCATAGTATTGAGTCGCATTCCATGATTGCATAATGGGGTTGTTATATTGATGCAGTAGTTGTTGCATGTTGTTGATGTTCCGTTGTGATTATTGTTGTTTATAAGATGTGAAGTGGTGATTTGTACATGAGTTGATCCTAATATAATATTTATCATACGTTTTATTATATTGTTAGATATCTCACCCCTTCTATTTGAATGTTACTCCTATGTTGGTAATGTGCAGGTAATCCAGAGTGAAGGCGGTTTACCTTCAGTAGTTCGAGTCGGTGTCATTGCTCTGATACGTAACACTTGGGGGATGAAAGCTTGTTGCTTTTAGTTATTGTTATTTCAGTTATTGAACCTTAAGTTGATTGTTGTTTAGTACTTGTTATTTTGAAGCTGCTTTAATGTTGGACAAAGATGTTATTATGATTTCGCTGCATAGTTGTTCAAGTTGTTGGTTTAAAAGATTAATTTATTTTGATGTTGGTTCATCCAAAGTTTTAAAGTGTTATGTATCCATGTTGAATGCAATGGTTTTTAAGTTGAATTTGTGGCATCCTAATTTAGTTGTATAATTTTTATAACTCTGATTTACATTTATATTGTCGGGTACAATTGGGGTGTTACAGCACCTACTCATAATGTTGAGAATTGTGTGATACTAAAACACCAAGTTTAGGATTTGCTTGATGCATGAACAATTTTGTTTTACTTCCAATGGTTTAAGCATACAAATCAATCATACCCCAACTACTGCAGGGAAGATGGTTACACCTTCTCATCTTCAAGGTCCCACATCGAATCATGGGTTACATCATCCGCAACCTATACTCCCAAAGGTTTCTCTCCAACAACCATTTTCAAGTTGTGAGAATCAGATGGTTAATCATAATCAATATCATCCCTATACTAGCCAATTCAACATGTGGTGCAGCCGCAAACCTATCGATAGAGATGTCAGCAACAGGGAAGACAGAGGGACAAGAAGCCGAAAAGAGTGTTTGACATAATTCCTATACCTTATGGTCAATTATTCTCGCATTTACTCGAACTTTCCTTGGTGGAAACTAAGCAGTTGGATCCTGTGTTTTCTCCTTATCCAGAGGGATTTGATCCCAACGTCAGGTGTGGTTAACATGCAGGGGCACCTGGCCATTTAATCGAAGATTATGTTTCATTCAGAGACAAAGTTCAAGATCTTGTTGATTCAAGAGCTATTATGTTCACACCAGATAAAAATGGGAATCTGTTTCCTGGATGATTGTCAAGATTGTAGAAAGTCTCCAAAATTAATAAATCCATACGAAGTCAAGTCTCTCCAACAATGGCAATCTAGTGTCTTTTACTGCATTTTCCGTCTGCAATTTTGTTTGTTTGCTTACAAATTGGTTGCATGTACAAACTTGTTTGTTTTTTAATATTAATTTTAATGCAATAAGTATGTTTGTCTTGAAGTATTTCATTTGTTTACAGTCATCCATTTGTTTTCACTCATGAAAGGTTTTTCTTACATTATGATACCAATTGTACTAGTCTTTTGCTTAGGCAGAGATTGGAGGGAGGATGATGATAATTGAAAAACGCAAAAAAATCTCTGGGTTATATGATTTTGAATAAAACCTTGCTGACGACGTACATGCATTATTTCAAATTCCTAAACATCGGAGATATAGGGGAGTGAAACCCTCTTCAACCCCTTTGAGTGTTGAAGTAGGAGTTTTTTTCTAGTTAGAAAAAATCCTCATTTTTAACTCAGGGGCAGGATAGTGTTCAGTTAATCTGATCAAGCATTCAAATTTGATCAGGAGTACACATCTAAGAATCAACCATAATGGTTATCCTTCACCCGTCAGGAGGACAAAAGATGGCGATACCACAATAGTTATCCCTCATCAACCAAACAACAAGGTAGTCATCACTTTTCGGCAAGTTAAAAGACCCGGGATCACTCGAATCATTTAAAGAAAAGACAGAAATGATTGGAAAAAAAGAGAAATAAAGCCTGCTAAGTCAAAAGAAAATAAAAATCTTGAAAGAAATTGACTTAGACAAAAATTATGGCATCCCACTGGACTGTAAAATCAAAATTCAAAAGAATTTGTCCAGACAAAAGTTAGGGAAGTGGAAAAGAATAAAAAAGCGCAAAAAATGTCAAGGATTACCAAATAAAATCCTCAGCAAAGAACAAAGTCGTGTGATCAGACACAAAAAAAAACAAGATGAGTGACTGTCGTGTTCAAAAAAATCCCGATGGTTCCTCAACCGTCTCGAACTCCTCTTGAGAGATGAGTGCTCGTATCGACCATTCATAATTTGAACCATCTAACAGAGGTGGTATGCTGTTGTATCATCCTTCCTTATCCATAGTACCATAAATTATTATATCTGAAGCTCACCTAATAGACAGAACCGAGTGCCTTCTCTGATGTCAATTGAAATTCTAGAACTTGCAATACATATGTCAAGACGAGTGTCCCTGCACCAAAATATAATGTCTAGACAGATGTTAAGACATCATCTGCTGATAGAATAATTTTACCAAAATAGAAATTATGCAGAATTAAATTGTAGAATGTAAAAGACACAATCAATTGTTAACCCAGTTCAATGCAACATCACCTACTCTAGGAGCATTAAAGCCAGGAAGGAAATCAACTATAATAGTATTAGTTTAAAGCCTAAACAATCCCATTTTACAACTTATCACCTAATCACTATCCTATGTAATTTCTACCTAGAATCCTCTAGATATGTGAACTCCCTCTCACTTCCCACAATCACCTCAGTGATAAAACCAGTCACAAACCAATGACAAAAACTAAAATAGAAGATTACACTTCCAATAAACAATATCAACTCTTTGTTTAAAAGCTCACGAGTGAGAAATATAACTTGATACACAATTAACTATTTGCTTAAAAGCTCATGAGTGATTGTCAAGCAACAATGAACAATCAATCAACCTCAATGTATCAGAAGATACATGAGAGACATACACAAATAAACAAAGCACCTAAAGTACTCTCAAAATCCTAAACCCTTATATTACGTACCCACAATTTTTTCTATGTGAATGCTTTCTATTTTTAGGTTTAGCAAGTCCTTATATATAGACTCTTGCAGTATGAACTTAGACTCCTCAATCAAATCCAATCTTCTAATTGTAAATCAGCTGTAAGATCTTTTCCATAAAAGTAGGAATAAATCTTCTAAGTTTTCTAAAAAGTCTCCAAGATCTTTTTTATGAAACCAAATCAAATCTGCACTATTCCTAATAAAATCTTCTTGACCTGCAAAAATAGGTGAGATATATCCAAGAGGATTTCACAAAATCAAATCAAATTTGTCAAGAAAAATAACAACAACACTTGTTGTACAATTGGCCAAGATGTCAAGAAATCTGACTCAATATCTGTATGATATTCATGACAGCAAAACTTGTCATGACAGTTAATCAAGATGTTGTGACATCTTGTTCAACATCAATTATGAATCATGTTTTAGCAAAAATCATGCCAATTATAAAATCATAGATCTAACACTAACTTTATTTCTTCTTCTCTAAACTTCTTTAATGTGATAATATTTAGGATTCCGATCCCTATCAATTAACCACTTAGCTCTAGAGCATTGGAATCACATGAGTTCTTCCTGTTGAAGAATAAGGGACAATTCCTTTTAAAAGTCCTTCTCCAAATTCTGCAACCCTTGATAAAACCTCTCATGACAAAGAGCATTATGAATTCCATCTAACCTTCGCATAATCTTCTTTCAATGATGCAAGGTGTTGACATTATAGGATATCCATTAAATAACACTAACACATATTTATTTAATTATTCCCTTAAGTCTTATTTATTTTAAGCAATGTATTAAAATATTTGATATTCTTCATAAAAGAAACAACACTTAGCAATGACAGTTAGAAAACATTTAACCCAATTAGTAATAACAGTTAGAACCGAAAACCGCCACAAATCATCACATCAAAACCCCCCTTATTTAAACCCCAAATTTCCCTCTTTTTCAATCCTCTTTCCCACTCATACTCACTGAAAACAAAAAAAAAAAGATCAAAACTTCACATAGCGAAAACGAAAAACCCAGAATTCAAAACAATGGGTGATCTTCATCATCATCTTCAGAATCAAGAAGATCACATTTTGATCCCAAATTCTCACAACCAACAAGAAAACAACGATCTTTTCTCAATGCTGCATCTCAACAGCTCTTCCACCTCAACCCACCACCACCACAAAAACTCCACCAAACGCCGCTCACGTCCGTCGTCTTCATCCCTCGAACGATGCGCCAAGAAGCATTCTTTCGACCAGGAGGATTTCACCCGTAATGGCTTCTCTGCCATTACACTTCCTTTCAGTCTTCATGGCAATGTTCTTCGCCGCTGCGTCTCCACGCCAGAGCAGTCCGCAATAACGCCGTTGGTGAAAGGGGCTGGTTTGCCTCCCCTGCATCCGAACTTGAGGAGGTGTTTGTCTGCTGATGCTAAATCGGTTTCTCGTGCTTTGAGTTCTGAAGAATCGGCGCCTGCTGATTCAATGGTAGGTTTGTGCTTCTTTGTAAAAGTTTAATCTTTTTTTTATTTTAGGGTTTTCTTTGTTGGAAAAATTCATTTTTTTTGGATTTTGAATCATGGGTTTTCATTGTTTTGTTTTATTCTTTGGAAAAAATTCAATTTTTTTGGATTTTGAATCATGGGTTTTCATTGTTTTGGATTTTGAATCATGGGTTTTCTTTGTTTTGTGTTATTCTTTGGAAAAAATGTAATTTTTTTGGATTTGGAATCATGGGTTCTGTCTGTTTTGTAATTGATTGCAGAGGCTTAAGAGGATGAAGGATCGTATGAAAGAAATGAAACAATGGTGGGATGAAGTAATGAAAGAAGAGGATGAAGAAGTGAAAGAAGAAGAAGAACTACAACAACAAGAAGATCAAGAAGAAGAGAAAGAGCATTCTCCTGTGGTTGAAGAGGAAAAAGGCCGATCTCAGGTATATGTTTTGATCTTGGAGAGTGATTAGTCTTCTATTGTTAGCTTCGATAAGTTTAGGTCTTTAATCGATTTTGAATTGTGCTTGTGGTCGCAATTTCTGAACACAGTTTAGAACTATCACAAGTTATTGATGCTTATGTTGCTGCATTTTGTGAACATTTTTCGAAGGAAAGTTATAATAAATTGCTGTTATCATGATATATGGAGTTTGATTCTTGATATATTGACAAATATAGTTGCGATTGCGGTTGCGATGTGTTGTTTTATGATGAATTTATTTCATGTTTTATTGGATGAATTGTTGGATTCTGATTAGTCTTCTATTGTTAGCTTCAATAAGTTTAGGTCTTTAATCGATTTTGAGTTGTGCTTGTGGTCACAATTTCTGAACACAATTTAGAACTATCACAAGTTATTGATGCTTATGTTGCCGCATTTTGTGAACATTTTTCGAAGGAAAGTTACAATAAATTGCTGTTATCATCATGTACGGAGTTTGATTCTTGATATATTGACTAACATAGTTGCGATTGCGGTTGCGATGTGTTGTTTTATGATGAATTTATTGTCTGTTTTTTAGGATGAATTGGGGGAAGATGTTGAAGAAGCTGTGAGAGTAGAGTGGGCTGAAAAATGTTTAAGCCTTACTTTCAAGTGTCCATGTAGTAAGGGCTATGAGGTTTTGATATCGGCAAACAATTGTTACTATAAGTTGGTGTAGATTAATTAGTATGTTTTTGGTTCCTTTCAATATAGGAATCAATTTTGTTTTTATTCTGTTTACATATATAGCATTTGGATGTTGCTAGATTAGAAGAAATGTATAATTGTATATCAGTTACATTTGTTTTGTAAGTGAAATGTTATGTACTATCTCAACAATCTTCTAAGGAAAATGAATGAAAATATTTTGTGTACTTATATGTCTGTATCTATATGATTGATGCTTCTGTTGTGACACATTGATTGTGGAGATACTTTGAATTGGTTGAGTTTGAAAACTAGCAGATTCAGTTAATCTAATGTTCAATAATTCTCGAACTCGTTGGATTCTTTAGGTAGTTTTTGTTATAGGTCGAGTTTTCAAGAGGAGATTATTCGAGTTGGAGGTGGCATTCGGGTCCTCCATTTTGGTGGCAACTTTCTTTTTAACTAGACAGATTTAGTGCTGTGAAGTTTGAGGCATGGTATTCCTTCCGAGTGCTGTGACTGTTGCAGCAACATTGTTTTTTTAACAGCTATATGCTATATTGAGTCAATTGTTTTCTGACTTTGGTGTCTGCGAATTGTTGGAACTAAAAGTGAATGGCTTTTTATTTTGCGACTGTGGTTCGTGCTGTTTTTTCTGCTCAATTTTTCTGCATAATCGCAGATTCTGGTATGTCGGAGCAGATTTATTGACAATGCTGTTATGCCTTCAATACTGGCAGTTTTCAGGACTGTTGTGGAGGCGCAGTTATCAGTCCGTGCTTTAGTTGGGCTGGTGCGACGGCTGATAGGTGAATTCATAAGAGAGTGGTGCGTAGTATATACTTATCTTTTGTTTCTTCTTCTGATCAGTGAAGCAATTCGACATTATAGGTTAATTGGAAATAGAAGTTGATTAACACTTGGTTCGAACCTAGGACTTCATAGTTGTCTGTTAGTTGTTATAGGTTATTGTAACTTTCATATATAACCAAATCAATAGAGGGTTAAAAGTCTTAGTTCTAGAAGTGGATTATCACTTGGAAATTGAAATTTGAACAAACTCACTCAAAAGGCTTAATTCTATAGACGGTTGAAACTGTAACAAACTCTATCAGAATTCTTAATTCTATAAAGGGTAGTAGAATATTGAATGAAAATATTGTTTCTTCTTCTTATGAATTGGAATGTGTATTACAACATCCATGTGTTTTCATGTGTTTTTTAACAAGGAAAAATTGAAAACTGACTTACCATAGTAGCCGCAAACAAAATGTATGGATAAGTGATTATGAGATAATTCAATTCCTAACCAACATTTAATAGAGGGTCTGACTAATTAAGGAGAAGATTGACAATTGGCTTCATAGAAGTATCAACTTACTTACATTCAACAAAGTTGTTTCTTCAAGAATATAAATAATACATTTCCTTTGTAAAATCACAAGACTATCCTTAAGTTGACTTACCTTATATAAAAAATGGTCTGAAGTTTAAAAAGGTCTTTGGTATGAATCAATTAATTTTTCTTCTTTAATTTGAATATTCCTTGTATGTCACTGCCAATTATAACAATATCATTTACATACACAATTGAAGTGTATAACGATAACAAATAGAATGGTCAAATAGAATGATAACAATATTTTTGCATAACAATATCATTTACATACGCAATTGAAGTATATAACGATAACAAATAGAATGGTCAAATAGAATGATAACAATATTTTTGCAAGGATTTTGGAATCAGATCAAAGAATAAAGGATGTGTTGCACTTCAACAAAGGAAGGGTCAAGGTGGTTGATGATATAGAACCACCTATCTGTGAAAAATAGCTTTGGAGATAGGTACATGTGTCAAGTTGAAATACCAATTAATCATGAACATATATGTGTGGTTGAATCAAGCTCAGATATGTGGAAAGTCAGTATTTGTTGGAACAAATTTTGTTCATACTCTTTAAATTTTGATGATAACAAAGAACTTGAAGAATAATAGGATATATTAACATTTATTTAAGTGGACATGATCATTAAGTTTGAAATTAACTAGGTTCTGACCCAGTTAAATGGCTTGTAAAGAAGAAGTATAATTCATATTATAATGGACCAAAATCTGATTTTTCTAATAGAACTTCAGTGCCATATTGATTCAGTCTCTGATATTCAAATGGAACTTCAAGCGCCATGATAGAAACATAGTACAACACCTTTTTGTTCGTACTTATGTGCAAAAGCAGCTTCATCTTATCAATTGTCAGAATTATGGAGAAAGTCAACTAGAGGTTATAGTGCAAGGCTCAAGGTTGCGTGACATGATTTTTTCAGTCTACTCCAGCATCCATATGGACGTCTCACTTGAGAAATACACAATGGATAAAGAAATTATTCAGAAGATGGAGATCCTCATCGTACCTACTCCAACGTCTCTCTCTCTCTTGGAAACCGCTTCTTCAGCAAAGACGCTTGTGCAGGTAAGCTTCCAACGTCTCTTTTGTTCCCTCTATATAAGGATTTGAAGATTCAAAAGAAGCTACACCAATATACAACAAGATGTCACAACAAGAACAATAATTGTTTCGCTCTCTAAACTTTTGTATATAGTTGTTGTGGTTGCACATAATCTTGAGAGTTTCTTACACTTGTATATTTTATAAATCTCAAGTAACAAGGTATTTTCTTGTGTGGTATTATTTTCACCTTTGATTGTATATTAGATACATCTTATTGTAATCCTAAACAGTTTGTTTAGAATTTGTAGAAGTCCTGAACTTTGAGTTTAGGCAAGGAAGTCTCTTTCAAGTGTGATTGAGCAGAAAGTCTTGAACTGTGAGTTTAGGCAAGAAAGTCTTTTTCAAGTGTGATTGAGCAGAAAGTATTGAACTGTGAGTTTAGGTAAGGAAGTCTCTTTCAAGTGTGATTGAGCAAGAAGTCTTGGGACTGGTGTATCTAAGCAAGTTGTAATCAGATTCTGATTATAGTGAAAAGCTCTTGTGTGGCAAAGGGATTAGACTACTCTCATTATAAAGGAACCATGATGATTTTTGTGTGTAATTTACTTATTGTTTTTTCACTATAATATTTAGTTGCTGCTTACTATAACTTAGAATTTGAACTTGGTCAGATTCAGAAGCTACTGTTCTAAAAAGAAAAAATTATCAGATACACAATTCAACCCCATTCTTGTGTATTTTTCTCACCTTCAGTTGACATCAGAGCTCGATCTGTGCTTAACACTTAACACTAGTACAGAAAAAGACCCTGAAGAGAAAAGTATACTAGATGAGTGATACTAGTGATAATGATGTTATTGGCACTAGTATACCACATGATTATAGTACTCCTGAAAAGAGTCACTATTCTGCTAAACCACATACATTCAGTGGCGATTTTACTCACTTTGAATGGTGGAAGAGAAAAATGTACACATGCATCATTAGGCTTGATGATGAGCTATGAGACATCCTTGAGGGTGGTATTGATATTCAAATGAATAGTTTGGGAATGGTTACTGACAGAAAAATTCTCACACCAGCTCAAAAGAAAGTGTACATAAAACACCATAGAGTAAGAGGTATTATTGTTGATGCTTTACTTCACTTTGAGTACATAAAAATCATAGATAAGTCAATTTCCAAAACTATCTTTGAATCATTATGTGCTACCTATGAAGGTAACCAGCAGGTGAAAGAGGCTAAGGCCAACCTTCTGCTTCACCAGTATGAATTCTTTAAAATGAAGGATGATGAAGACATTAAAACCATGTTCTCTAGGTTTCAAGTTCTTGTATCAGGCCTTCAAGTTTTGAACAAGAGTTATACTTTTGTAGATCATGTCAAGAAGATTATGAGGAGTCTTCCTGTAAGATTCATACCCAAAGTTACAGCTAGTCCAAAGGTTAAAGACCTGAATATTCTAAATCTTGAAAGTATGATAAGCAACCTTCAGAACCATGAAATGGAACTAAATGGATACGAGTCTATGATGATGTCCAAATCATTGGCTTTAAAATCTGCTACTAAGAAATCTGGTGGTAAAGCTCATAGACCCTTAAGAGTCAGGAAATCAGAAAAAGCTTATGATGAAAGAGTTTTTAACGATAACTTTGATGATGAGGAAATGACATTTATCATCAAAAGGTTTCAACAACTGACCAAAAGGAATAAAAGATTCTCTGGTAGAAGTAGTGGCTTCAGAGGATCTAGTTCCAAAGACAAAGAAAATGATCAAAAGATCTGTTACAACTGCAATAAGTCTAGTCACTTGAGATATGATTGTCATGATCTACAGAAGGAAAAATTAAAGAAAGGAAGTATCCAGAAGGATAACTTCAGAAACAAATTCAAGAAGAGTCTCATGGCAACATGGGATGAACTTGATAATGAAGAAAATTCTGACAAAGATGAAGGAGAAGTAAATATGGCATTGATGTCTCTCACATCCTCTCATGCAGAATCTGAATCTTGCTCTGGTTTTGAATCAGACGAAGAAGATGGGGTATTTTCTAACTTATCTCGTTCTGATCTTATTTCCTTCATTCAAGACCCCATGAGTCGTGGCAAAGACAATGCAAGACACATGAAAATATTAAAGAGACATCATGATCTTTTGAAAGAAGAGTTAAAAAATGTGTCAAGACAAACTTAAATCTCTTGAAAAAGATCATAAGTCTCTCTTAGATAAAGCTTATGATAAAACATTAGATGAGCATGAGGTGGCTCTTCAAAGCTTTATCACAATAGGTCTTGAGAGAACTAAACTTGATTCCATGATATATGGAGTAAGTAAGAGAAAAGGAGAAGGTCTAGGTTATAATGGAGAAATCTCCAAATTTCAACTTTTAAATAAGCTCTCAGATTCTTCTTCTTCAAGCAGTGCTCAAAAATTATTTTGTGCCTGCCTCTGATAAGTCTAAGAATCAAACTCAGTCATAATCCAAGATTACTAATTCAAAGGATCTGAATAAATATGCACCTAAAACTTAAAAGTAAAAGGTACTGAAGAACTCAATTCCTAAGATTCAACAATCAA